CATCGTTAAACATTTAGATTTTCATAACCTTTTCGAAATATTCCATGCTGTTAAGAAGTTAGTTAATATCACCAATGATACGTTTAAAAAACTTTTCAATAGGCATTATGAATAAAATACTAACAGTTTCAATATATTCTTTAAAAATGGCTGGACATTGCTTTTTTTTCCACACTTAGTTATTGCAATTTTCAACCTGATACTTATAAGCTAACAGATATATTTGCTGAAGTGAAATAGGTAGTTCAAAGGGTTCTGGTAGAATTCGCCGACAACCGTTTCGCCGACAACCACTTCGCCGACAATCTCCAGCCAACATTAACTATAAAGCAGCCAACCTTAACTAAATCGGGTCAAAATTTGTCGGTGAAATGGCTGTCGGCGAAATAGTTGTCGGCGAAATTGGTTTATACCAAAGTTTATTTAGGTTTAGATTTGATGATTACCGAAATAATAGCTTGTTCACAATATTTAAAACGTCTGTAACAAGTTTTACATATCTTTTTCTTCAGAAAGAAAAGACAAACGGAAAATATTATGCTAAGCTAACGCTAAAAAAATATCGATTATTGACTTTTTATGTAATGTTTAACATGATGCAAATACGTAATTTTTGTTTCTAGTTCCGAATATTCTTATTATTCCGACCTATTTTTCCGGACGATCACCCGATCCCAACCCGGTACACATTTTCTAGGTGCGTAATATTAACTAAAATTTTCGAAAACTTGTCTGCAAAGAATTATTTGATTGGTTTTCTGAAATTGTTACATAACCCTTAACGTTAATATATAAATAACATCGATATGCGTCATAGAATTTTAATACTGGTACGTAAAATCTCTGATATTGGGACAAGTCATTTGACATCATAGTTGTCTGACAGACAGCTTATTAAACAATTAACTAGTATTATTTTTGCCCATAGGTAGGGCTGTTTAGGACTGACTCAAGCCTATCCCAGACAAAGTTCAAATGCATGTTCTAATTTGTGATTCATATGATTGGCTTATTAATAATCAATATGAATTATTAACAATTAACCGAGTTATTAACTAAAAAACTAGATCGATTGAAACTATATTAAAAAAAAACTTATTTAATTCGTTCATTTATTGACGAACATAAAAATATATAATTAAAAATCAATTTATCTACGTACATGTTGGGATAATTTCTTTGTTATTTATATCAATAATTTTCATTACGATTTTTTAATTGTATTTAATATACAGTTTTTAATGTGATCTAGAGATGCAGGTAAAACTCCGTAACTTGCCGTAACTATTGCCATAACTTGTCGTAACATAATAAAGTTACTGCAAAAAATGCCGTAGTTCACTATAGTTATTACATATTTCAAAGTTAGTTACGACAAGTTACGGAAGTTTCACCTGCAGGAATTATTACGTAACAATGATCAAAATCATTAACCTATTGCCGCAAAAAAATTTTTTTATATGTAAATGCTATTATATTTTTCACAGCCCATTGTTAATTTTGTGCAAATAACAATACATGCACAGCGAATTTTCAAACTGGCCTATTGCTATTAATAACTAATTTTTTTATTATAAACTAAAAGCTTGAAGGTCCTATTACTACTTGAGTTAAGATCGTTCTTATAATAACTAACAATAACAGATATTGCATAAATGTTTTTCCAATTCCTTAATCACGCCATTGCATGAATGGCACTTTCTACATTCGGACTTTGTCTGAAACAGGTTCGGAGTTGATCTCAAAATGTTTTGGTTCTTTAACAGCCCTATTACGATTAGGGCTCAATCTTATCCGTCTTAACTCCATGAATAAGGACCTTGATCGGGATTTGGTCCTTGAGTAAGTTTGTTTCATATCATAATAGGTATTGCATGAATATTTTTCCAATTCTTTAATCACACAATTAGAATAAACGACGTGCATGAATGGCACTTTCTATCTTTAGACTTTCTCCGAAACAGGCTCTCAAAATATTCGAGTGAAGTCGACTCAAAGGCCAGGTTCGACAACAGCCTTATAGAAAACATTCGAATGTCAATCATACACAGGTCAATTTAACCATTGATCTAGTAAATTCAGGGGAATCAAGTACTGAAGATAGTGAGATACTGTATAATTTTTTTTTATATTGATATTATAGTTTCGAGCATTTGATTATCTTGAAAAGTTTAATATTTCAAGACAAAAACAAATTTCATACCTATTCAAAAATAGTAGATGACATTAAAATTTTGAACGAGCAAAAAAGTTTTTTTCTGCAACATTAAATTTAAATTTTAAGAAATAATCAAAAAAGTTTTTGAATCGATAATCTCGTGATTTTGTAAGACTTATGCTAATGCTCAGAATGAATTTAAAACACCGTATTACGTACGTTACGTACCTGATTTTTGGTGTGGATCAGCCCATATCGATATCGATATGAGTAGCGCAATTTTGAATTTTGCATATGTCAGCGCGCAGACTTGATGCATAGAAGATCAACTCAGAAATTTTTCAACTCAGAAATTTTTTACGATCAATTCAGAATTTTTGCATCTTGGTAATATTTATTCGGCAATTTATCTAATCTTTACTAAACCAAATTAAAACTTCCTACATTTCCAAATTGGGGTATTGTCATAAGTATACGTACCAATTTATGGTAACAATACAAGCCCCGCTGATAAGCCATTTTACTTTATTTAACTACTACGATTATTGCATCAACTACATCAACTACATAATCCGGCAAATCACGTGAATTGCAAATTACATAAAAACTAAATTATGTAAAATTACGGTATTTTTATATAACCATAAAGTTGTCATTTGTGGTGTAATTTGACTACATTTTACTCTTTTAATCTTCAAAGACTATGACTTTAAACACCAAAGGCCCATGTGCCCAATGTGCCAAAAAGTACAGCGCAGGTAAAGCAAGTTCGCACTTGCTTCAATGTATTGCGCAAACGTATACTCCTTCTGACTTAACAAGTGAAGGGTATTTAATTCGCGTTTCTTCAAACGATTACCCAAGTTTGTATTGGATGTTTTTAACTATTCCCAAAGACTTTACTTTAAGAATATTGAACGACTTCTTACGCGACATTTGGTTGGAATGTTGTGGCCATCTGAGCGCATTTTACATCGGTGATCTCGAGTATTCTTCTCATCCAATTTCAGGAGATGGTACCCTATCGATGAACAAAAAAATGAGTCAACTTATGTCTCCAGGTTTGAAATTTGGTTATACCTATGATATGGGTTCGTCCACCGATCTTAGGTTAGAAGTCGTAGCATCATTGGTTGCCTGCCCTTTTGATGACATTACGCCCATGATGAGAAACGATCCGCCCGCTTTTTCATGTGAAATGTGTGACAAACCTGCTGAAATCATTTGCACTCTATGCGGTGGGAAAACATGCACAGATTGTCGTGAAAAACATTCTTGTGTAGTCAACGAAGATGATACATATATGTTAGCAACTCTTGTCAATTCTCCACGTACAGGTGTTTGTGGATACGAATAATGTAGCCTTTCAGGTGTGTGTTTTTAAGAAAAATTGATGTAAATTTTACTTAATTTTTTTTGTATAGTAATTTTTGTGCTACTTCTTGTGTTAGTATAAGGCTATACGTTGATTTGAAAATCAAGATCGGTTTGACGAAAAATTGGTGTTAATTTTACTTTCTATTTTTTTTTTGCATAGTTGCGCTAGTATAAGGTTGTGCGTTGATTTGAATGAAACCCAGTATCTGTGTAACGAAAAATTGGTGTTAAATTTACTTTTCTATATATATTTTTTGCGTAGTAATTCTGTGTTACTTTTTCTTGTGCTAGTATAATGCTGTGCGTTGATTTGAAATCCTAGATCTGTATTTGGAATCATGAGCATTGGTTTGGTTTGAAACCAAAGGTCTGGATTTGAGAACACAGATGTTGAATTAAAACTCAAGATTTGGGTTTGAACCTATTGAACATTAAAATGTATAAATACAACGCTCAAACTAATAAAAATCAATAACTCTTTCTGCTTCAACAATATATAAATAAAACAAAATATATCTGATGCTAGATATTTCCTATAAATAAAGCCTTTCAATGACTTTAAAAACCTGTCATCCAAATATTTAAGTGTGTTAATTTGTATGTCTAAATTCGTGCATAAAATTTCGATCTTAAATTTACGGATCAACCGTATATGACTAGATCGATACCCTTTAAAGTTTACCGTGCAATGTAACCATGATATAAAACACCTCTTTACAAAAGTCTTGCGAAAGGAACATACCAACTAAATAATTTACGAACCAGAGCTAATTTAGCATCGAAGAAAAAGACTCCCTTGGTCATAAGTTGCAATAATTTTGAAAATGATTTATTATTTTCATGTTTTCTGAGTTTTAATAAGAACGCTTTGTAAATTCGTGCACAGTATAAATTATTTACAATTCATTGAAAATTAGGTTTTAAAATCGAGAAAATTTTTATTGTTAATAAAAGTAATTGCTTATAAAAAATTATGCTAAACTTAGTATACTTTATTGTTTTATAGCCAATATCAATTAAATTTCCAAAACCAATTCTCTCAAAATGATAAACTAATAAACTGTTAAATCTGATAAAAATAAATCTACCAAGTCCGTTTCTATTATATAAATAAAATATAATAGTTTATTATGTTTTCAAATACAATAACCTTTCAATAGTGATACAAAGTATGTTTATTATGCATATCAGTTTTAAGAGATTTGACTATATATTTTATTATTAATAATATTATAAAAAATAATTTATCTTTTTAATCAAAATTAAAAAGATTATTTAATTTGACAAAATAATATTTATTAATTAAAGTGTTTTTATATATTATATTGGATAAATTTAGATAGTTTCTATGCATTTGGTGCTTTTATAACCAATTAAAAGAATTTTTAAAATAAAAAATTTAATATTATTACCTATAGAGTAAGTTACTCAGTATATAAAAACAAATTGTGTTTAATTTTAAGATTAAGATTAAATAAAGGTATATTTATATGCAAAATTAAATACTAAATATTTTGCTTAATACTATTAGTATAGTTTTTTAATATACTAAAAAATTATAACCAAAATTTATATTTAAAAAATATTAAAATTAAAAACTTAAACATAATATTAAAATAATTTTAATATAATTATCTATAGTCTAAATCTATTAAAATAGTTAAAATTTATCAAAATTTAAAATAATAAAAAAAGAATTAAAATTAAAGTACAGTATTAATAAAAAAGAATAGTAAATAAGAAAAAATATTAATATTAAATCTAATAATTATAGATCAAATATATAAATAATAGTTAAATAACAGAATATATCTATATTTTTAACTTACTATTTATTTAGTATATATTTCAAAAATAATAATAGTAAACTAACAGATATTAATATTAGAATAAAATAAAAAATAGCAGTACAAATTTGTATAATCAACTTTTTCTGATAATAGCTATACAAATTTGTATAATCAACTCTTTTTGATAATCACTCAAACAAAAAAAACTCTTTCCACTAATCATCAAAACACAAATTTTCAGAAAAACATAATTTACAAAAACTTCAAAAAATACACAAAAGCCACTAGAAAACCAAACTCAAAGCTCTAAGAAAAGAGGAAGAGAACTACAAGAAACACTCAGTTTCTTAGAGACTTAAGTTGAAAGAAACAGAAGTGACAAAGAAATAGAAGAAGTTGTGAAATATCGTCGGTATTTTGCAAAAATTTGGGGAATCAGCCTTGACCCTGAATCACAGATCTGTTTTGATAACACAAAAATCATAACACATAATGAAAATAAACAAAGGAAACATGACAAAAACCACGCGACTAAAACAAACATAAGCAAAAAGAGTAAACAACCGCAGCAAACAACAACAACAACAACAACAAACAACAACTGTTGAAAAGCAACATATCACTGTTTTCATGTAAAGCAAACAGCAAAAAATAGGCTGCAAGAAAACCTGATAATATAGCAAAAGGTATAATAACAGTATTTGATACCATCCAGGAAATAACAACAAAAATAACTGATGAAGTAATAAACACAACAGTTGAAGAAATGATGCCAGAGTATATTGGACAAAAACTTATTACAAAAGAAGAAGCCGAACTACAAGAAAAAAAACTCCACGAAGAACTACAGTAATATAAATATGGTAAACTAAAGTATAAAGAGCTTGCACTTATAGAAAGAGACAGTGAGGCTTTTCATGAAGCAATACAAAATAGAGAAGACCCACTGCAAAATATATTAAAAAAAGAAATAGTTGGCATTATAGTGCAATTAAGGATAGCAGACGGGATTAGATGGGTATTAAAAGATAGAAAAAAACAAGTTGCTGAAGTAAGGTTGAAAATAGACTCAAGCTGGAGCAAGAGACTCCAAGAGCAAAGAAGAAACTGACAAAGACAGCACAACGAAGAAGTCCTAAAATCTTTAGTACAACAATTTGAAGATTTGGTCAAGATTATCGCAACAACCAGCTTGAGGAAAAAAAAAAAATTCAAGAAACAAGAAAAAGGAAGTTGCAAGCTTTGTAAAGGAAAAAACAAGCTTCCGAAATAAAGTTGAAGTTAGAATCAAATTGAAGCAAGAGACTCCAGAAACAAAGAGAAATTCAGCAAAAGCAAAACAACAAATCAGTATTAAAAATTCTGGCCATAAACTTCAAAGTATCTACTGAATTTGACTTAGCAAATCAAGAGGAAAAAAGAAGAAAATCGAGAAAAAGAAAAGAACAAAGAAACAGAAAATGAAATGTTGAAGCTATTGAAGAAACAAAATCTATAAAAGAGGATCA